CTGCCTGATTGCCCAGTCTCTACAAATGGATGCAAGTTGCATGGAATAAGGTGCACAGAGGAGATTTATTTGTTTACTAAGTGTTTAAATAGTTCAAGGCTCTAATTTGAATGCAGGTATCCAGTCTGACATTGCAGATCAATATGGTGTATTAACAGGAACATTTTATAATCGAGCAGGGAGATGAAGGATGACTTTTGGCGGGAGTGGGGGGTGTGGGGCAGGGGCTTTTAATGGATTTTGAGGATGCAGCTGTGAGAGAAATGACATGTTTTACACTCCATTGCTAAGAAAGGACAGTAACAGGCAGAGAGAGGACATTCTTCTATTGAAGAGGAGTTTAGGGAACTGCTGTACTGGCCACCCATGCCCTCCGGATCTCCTAGGAAATTCTTTGTGGTTTTGTGGTGAATCCTTCAGGGTCCCCGTGGACTTTCATGGCAGTTGAAAGAGATTTACTTGGAATGACAAGCAGTGAGAGGACTCTAAGGTGTCAGGAGACTTTATTTTTACTATTATTATTATTATTATTATTATTATTATTATTATTATTATTATTATTATTATTGTTATTATTATTATTATGGTGGTGGTAAAGAAAATAATTAAAAAGTGGCTTGTAAATGCTGGGGTTCACAAATTAGCAATAATGTGTAACAGACCAGTGAATATCTCTCCCTTCCTGGAGAAATGTCGTGTGGGAGTGTGGAATAAAGGGAGGATAACATGATGTTTAAAATAGAGGTCCATGTTTTCCTGTGGGGAAGAGCGCTACTTCCGTCCCCTCACCTGGCATGACTGCATAGCTCGTGGGTAGGGACTTTTCTTTCTTTCCCTTCTGTCCTCCCTCACCTTTGCCCTCTTCAACCTCGGCCTTCACATGTTAAGGCTCCAGCTGAAGGTATTAGGCCAAAACTGGTGCAGAATGAGAGGGAGAAACAGCTAATTAAATGAGCCATTGAATAGAAATGGGGTTTTATTGGCTTTTGGGTTTTTTTTTGGCAAGCAGGGTGCAGAACTAGCTTTGCCACTCTTCTCTAGCAGCAATATTCTGGTGAAGGGGAGAGCAGTCAGGAAGGAAAGAAGTGTTGGTAGATCCAGATTTTAGCTCTTAATTTCTGGCAGCATTTCTCACTTCACAAGCTGCCTGTATGAAACAACACAAAACAAAGCTGTAATTTCCCTGGATAAATGCATAAACCATTATTATCCTCCTCCCTTTTTCCCCTTCATTCACTTATATCACTACTGTTACTTCATGTAAATGTCCTGAATCTTTTGGCATAATAGAAATGAGAACTTCTGCCTCTCAAATGTGTCCCATGTGCTTCTGTTTGGAGGTCATGCCTCTTAAACATTGGCTACTTGAAAAGGATTAAGATAGGAGCAATTCTGCTCCTAAGGAAATCTCTGGGAGTTTTTGTTTGGCCACGCGAACAAATCAGACCCTTTGTGCAGTTGTGTTCAGAAAAAGAAGGAAGCAGGCACAGCAAAAATTGTTTCTTTCACCTCCAATTACTTTCATCTTTCTCAATATAGCTAAATTGTTTTAGTGTGAAGTGCTTTAGCCTCCTTTTTCTTTTTCCTCTGGACCCATGTTTTCTGATGGGACACTAAATGGGTAATAAGTTTGTCAGCAACTGAAAAAAGTGCAAAATTGTCTCTTGTTCATTCCTTCATTTATCATGGTAAGTCTGTGTCCTGTTGTGGGCTACACTTACATCAGCAGTTGCTGTAATAGAAAAGCTAAATTTATGTTAAGCTGCTGCTCAGTAATTACTGAAGGAAAAAAGAAGCTGGCTAAGGAAAAGGCATCTCCAAGCTTTTCCCTGGATTGCTGTCAAGTGAACACATAAACAGAAAATTTGATAGAGCAGATCCAGTTTTGGACGATAGAAAGCTGTCATAGGTGCCCCATTCATTTTGCACAATAACTAGCAGGATTATTTTCTTGACGTGATAAGGAAGCACTGGGAAATTTTAGTCACCAGTTTGGGCTGAAATAGGCAAACCTTGTCAACATTAAAAAGCTAGGGATGTGTGTCTGCTTCCAAAGAGGCAACAGTTTCACACTTCAGTGAATCATTCACTTAATACAGTAGCCAAAAGACACGTGGAACAACCCAGAGTTTAACTCATTCAATAACGAAGTGGGAATGAGTACAGCATTTCTTGGAATCTGTGCTGAGGCTTATCCAGAGCCCAAAGGGCTGATCATAAAATAAACAGTCAATAATAAACATTCATCCAAACATCCAGCTATGTGAGAAGCAACACTCAGAGTCTAGAGCTGGCTGTGTCTGCTGCTTCCCTCACAGGTGTCTGAGCACAGGTGTGTCATTCAGTGGCATATGTTGGTCCTTAAGGCTGTCTCCTCTTCAAACCATGGCTGATAATTTTGGTAGTGACCCCAGGCAGCTGGGATTTTGGCACTGTACAGGGAGCCATTATGTGTATATTTAGGCACTAGATGCTTGTACAGGAGGAAAGATAAAGCTGCATTGGAAGGTCCTGATATGTTTGGTGTGATTGCTTTCCAGAAGGTCAGAGATCACATACCTCAAACCTCAGGCAAAGTGTAAGTTATTAATGCAAGGGGGTGGCTGGTCTGTGTCTTTTCTCATGTCAGGAATGATTTGTACTGATCTAGAATTGAAGCAGGTTCAGTTTGCTGGAGCGGCAAATTGTGTCACAATATCTCCCAGCCTGATACCGCTGACAAGTGAAAAATGGGATTTCAGATTAGGTGAGACCCAAGAAAAAATGCTGTAGATGTGAGCCAATACAAGCAATTGTGTGGGACTGGAGAAAAACAAAGGCATTCCAGAGGTGTTGCTATGGCTTCCTATATGTAGGTTTCAGATTATTTGCCTGTGACCTAAAAAGCTGTCTCCCATTTGGCATGAAGATTCTTGCTCTTGCAGTATGAGGAAGGAAGATTTTGGATGGGGCTCAGGGCAGGATTTTAGCACGTTTTGAGAGAGCTTGGTGCTGGTGCAAAATCCCAAGCCAGGCTATCCAAGTTGCAGCCTATTCACTGAAGGAGTGCACTGTGCACAGCAGCAGCATGAGAGAGCCTCCATCTTGGTCTAGCCAGAGTGGCTTCGTGTTGGCTTGGAGATAGGCTTTTGTTTCTGATTGCTAGTGAGGGAACAAGGAGAGAGGGAAGGGTGCTGGAATTAATGCCGTTTTCAGTCTGGGTGGGATGAAAATTACTTTAAAGATATGCAATTGGCACCTACTAAGTATTTTCTAGAGTAGTGAAGCTGACTGAATTTTGGGTTAGTATTCTCAGGGGCCTTTCATCCCATTGCCAGCTGCTGTATGAAAATCATAAAGAAAAACAAGCCTCCTGCAGCCCCACAGGATAGCCCAGATGAGAAGGATTTAGGATAGCAGTAGCCATGCTGATCTGGAAGGCAGGCTTGCAGCATGCTCGAGTCTAGCAGCTTGGAGAAGGAGCAGCCCTTGGAAAAGATCCTGCCTCCTGTCATGGCAGAAGACATTGGGGGATTGGCTTGTGACAATTTAGAGTGGTTTATTTAATGATTTTATTCTGCAAAGAAAAAAAAGGATACCTGTTATTGAAGTGTACTGTCATGGCCATTTTTTTTCTCCTAAGGGGTAGGAATGGGCACACGAGAGTTGAGATGATTATGCCACTGGTGTGTTTCAGTTGCACATTCACAAGCTGCAATACATGGAAGTGAATTAATGCATAGTTCCTGGTAGGGGGCCTGGGTACTTTGCTATATGTTAGTGAAAAAGGCAAAAATCAGACGCTTGTGCATGCACACAATAAAAGAGAATCAGGATTTACATTTGGTATCCAAGGAAGCGAGAGCAGAATCCTGCAGGGCTTTCTGTTCATTGTTTAAATGTTGCCATAGCGATCTCTCAGGGCACAAGTTACATGTTTTCCACTTCTGGAGTTGAGCTTTCCTTCTCTCTCAGTGTCTCTCTTGACATTCTAAACTACCAGGAATATCTCCACAAGAACTTTGCACAGCAATGGAAAGGGTGCTTGCAGGCTGCATTATCTGATGGCATATCTGCCTATGCTCTTTGCTGATATTTGCTAATTTATTGGAAACCAAACTAGAAGGAGATTGTTGGATAGAAGTGGAGTGTGAGACTTGTTGTTAGGACATTGAGCATATTAGAATATTTTCTGTAGTGGTGATATGTTAATTGGATAGCTGCGGGCAAGCAAAGTGTAGCAGTCACTGACAATTAAAAGCAACAATGAACTTTCCAGGACTGAAATATTCCTTGGGCGTATTAAAATGCATTTCAGGTATATACCATAGCTTGTGTAAATTTAAATATGAATACCACTGTAATAAGTCTTGAAATTTTTGTTTTCACAGTGCTAAGATGAGATTTACCTTTGCTTCTCATGAAAGGGAGAGAGGCAGCATCAGACCACCGAATAAAATCTACCATAGTTTTGCTGCCAAGCTTGTACTTGTTATGTCAGGACTGTGGGGGAGCAATATAACCAGGAACCAGAAGAATTAAAAAGGAAACAAACCACCTTCAAAAAAAGCAGAAGACTCCATCAACAAATATTTCACTTGTGACTAGATAAAACTTACTCAGAAATTTCGCGGCAAGATAAGTAAAATAAATGTTGTTTTCTCTACAAAACAGCAGCAAT